CGGTTTCGAGACACTCACGTTCCTGGTCGGAGCCATCCTCGGACTTGTCGTCCTTGCTCTTCATGAACGGGAACTTCCGGCTGAACGAGAAGTTCTTCTTCTTCCGGTCTAACGTCGATTGCTGAAAGCAACGAGTTTACTGCGTGGTGCTGCGTCGCGCGGGGCGCATCGCGATATCGCGACCGGCGCGTTATCGGCGTGCCGCGTCACTTGTTCGACTTTGTATCCACCCGGTATATCCGGCGCGAGACGGGATCCTCTTTCGGCGGCAACGTCGAGAGCCCCGGGACGGCTCGTCGCGCGCGAATTCGGGGAGGAAACACCACCGAAGGTTCTCCACTTTCGGCTGTATCGAAGTTGCGAGGTGGCGACGCAACGCTGCGGCGCGGCGTATCGATCGCGATGAATACTCGATCAGCCGTCCGTCTCTCCCTCTGTCATTAGCGTTAATGAGCCTGAGCGAAGCGCCAACGGGTGAACACGCTTTTTCGATCACGCGCGATTTTACGAACGTTACCGCTCCGTTAACGTGTGTGCGTCACGCACGGAACACGCGCGCAGTTTACCCTCGCGAAGGGGCGTCAAGTTTTCATGTTGCGTATTAATTTGAAAAGCGACGGAGACTTCGCACTTCGCGCTCGCGGTCTCGCCCCGTCTATTTCCGGGTCCGGTAAAGAGAGAAGAAACATAACGACACAGTTGAGGCGGTATGTCGTCAACTGTTTGTCGCATGCAAATCCCAGGCGTCCTTAAATCACACACACACACACACACACACACACGACACGTTGTTCTTCATAATTCAATTCATTTCTTCACAATTCAATTAACGCGAAGCAGCAACTGTCGCTCGGATTTTCAGCCGGACGTCGCGCGCGTTCGGAAATCGGCTCCTCGCGGTGGCTCGAGTCGCGTGTTTCCGCGATTCAACGTCATCCCGGAACTCGTCAGACTCACCTTATCGAGAATAACCGGCATGTGTCCCTGGAACTTGACGGAGCGGTCTCTGGCGCGCTGCTTGCGCTCCCATCGTCTGCGCGAGGGTATTATACCGAGGCCCTCCTCCTCGCCCTGAGGAGTGACCCTCCTCGCCTGCCACCACTCGTCGTCGCTGGCGTTCGTCACGTGCAGGATCTCGCCGTAGCGGAAGGCCAGGCCGCGGCTCGGTAGACCATCGTCCTTGTTGGGGTCGTAATCGAACAGCGCTCTTTGGCAGAAGAAAAATCGCGCAACGTTCACGCACCATTTTCGTCGCGGAGATTAACGGGCGCGGGAGAGACACGCGCGGTATTACCTCACGTAGAGTGACTTCTTCTGCGAGGTCCTCATGAGGGTGCCTGTCATCACATTCTGTTGCGAGATCTGTTGCTTAAGATCGTGGATCTTCGCCTCGAATCTGTTGTAATCCTCCGGCTTGTATTGCACCACGATCGTCACTGTCTGGCCGGTACCCTGCGCGCGCCGCGCCAACAAAAATCGTGTATAATAACGAATGCGTGGGTCACAAGAGAATCTCGCCGAAAGAATCTCGCGTTGGATTCCACTCGGGATAGCGAACTGAACATCGCGGAGAGAACTCGTCGAGAAGCTCAACGTATTCACGTCCGTCCATCGCGGAATTCCGACCCGAGACATTTCACGAATCGCGTATCGGACGCGTTCTCGAGAGCTGAGAGAACGCGCCGCTGCTGCATTTTCTACACTGAGAGAAAAGTATATGATATTTGGAACTATAATGATATAGTAACTGAATTATAGTCCGAAATATCATATTTATAGCAAGTATTACCGTAATATACGGTAATAATTACGATGTAGGCATAGTATAACCAACTATATAATATTTTTACTACGAATTATGGTGAGTTAAACTAAAATTATTGTATGGATACAAATATAAAATGGTAGGTAAAGTAACTCTTTTATATAGTCAATATTACCAGAATATTTGCTAAATGATGACAGAGTTGTAACTATATGAATATTAGATCTCACTATATTTGTGAGTGAGAAATTACCATATATGTGGCGAAAGAGTAACTAAACAAGTATTTAAGACAATCATTGACTATATATTTGTGTTTATTCTACTATATTTTGCAGGTTCCACGAACTATAAAAATATGGTTGACGCCCAAATGAACTATAAGATATAGCGAGATTATAGTTAATTCAACTATATTTTTCTATCAGTGTACGGGGGAATTCACGTCGAATCCACTCGGAGACTAGGCGCGTCGCGCGTCGGCGGAAGCGCCAGAACACCGGATGGGATCTCCTTCGCTCTGTCCTCTCTCTCTCACCTTGAGGGCCGCAGCAGCCTCCTCATGGGTGGCTGTCCGAAGATTGATGCCATTGACGCTTAATATTTGATCGCCCCTGCGTAACTCGCCGCTGAGATCGGCCGGACCCCCGGCTAGAATGAACGAGATGAAGATACCCTCGCCATCTTCGCCGCCGACGATGTTGAAGCCCAGGCCGGAGGATCCTTTATTCAGTACTACCGTGCGAACCTCTCTGCAAAATCAAAGAAAACGATCCATGTTTGACGCTGCTGTCACTTTGTACAACGTCACGGTTATTAATAGCTACACGTATATATAGAGATACGTCTCGCATAGAAGATATTTTCTCAAATAAACATATCGGCGGGGAGAGGAGCGCTCAAGAGTACACATCGTGCACTGAGAGAAAAGTTTATGACATTTGGAGCTATATAATGATATAGTAACTAAATTATAGTCCGAAGTATCACATTTATAGTAAGTATTACCATAATATCGGTAATAATTATGATATAGGCACAGTACATATAACCATATAATATTTTTACTAAGAATTATAGTAAGTTAAACTAAAATTATCGTACGGATGCAAATATAAAATGGTAGGTAAAAGTAACTCTTTTTTTTATATAGTCAATATTACCAGAATATTTGCAAAATGATGACAGATGTAACTACGTGAATGTTAAATCTCACTATATTTGTGAATGAGAAATTACCATATATGTGGTAAAAGTAACTAAACAATTATCTAAGACAATCATTGACTATATATTTGTGTTTATTCTACTATATTTTGCAGGTTCCACGAACTATAAAAATATGGTTGACGCCAAAATGAACTATATAAAATATAGTGAGATTATAGTTAATTCAACTATATTTTTCTATCAGTGTGATGGTGAAACAGATATTAATAGACGCGGCGATCAGAGGTAGCAGCCATTTCGGGCAAATTATCATCAACTTTTCATCACAAACTGACTCGTCTTGCCGAGTCGACCGTTCGTCAGTGGCCGGACGCGGCCGTTCTCCGGCAAGCTGACGTACACGCGAATTCGAAACGCAGCCGGGGATGCGGAGGAGAGCGCGCGACTCCTGAGAGCCACGAGATCTTCGGTACGCCGCCGCAGTCATTCGCATTTAAATCGCGCGGTATCTCGCGCGAGAGCGCGAATCAACATGCAGATTCCACCTGTATATTCCAGAGCGCGATTATCACGTTGATTACAGGATCCGTGCCAAACTCGGCCGACGCCTGGCCTCGTCCTCGCCACGTAACGAGACGCATAATGCGGGAGGACTCGCGCGAGCGATGACGCTCCTGCGCCCTCGAGCGCGTCTCTCGGTGTTTCGCGTATGCATTACAGGCGCGCCGTGTCGCGCGCATAAATGCATTGCCTGATATTCGGAAGCGCGCGGATTCCGCGGAGGATTCACACACAGCGACGGAATCGCGCGACACGGGCTCACGATCTCGCGGGGATTAACGGAGTCGTTCTCGAGCCGAGCGCGGGCTCATTTGAATGCACGAGCGCGCGATTATCCTGCGGGATAAACCGGCCGCGAGACCTTAATCGGGGGGTCGCGATTGTGAGATTTTAACGAAGCGCGCTTTTACGCCGGGCTGCGACGAGCAATCATCTCGCCCGGCGAAATTGCGCTTCTCGTTCGTCCAAGTCTCGCTCACGATGCCAGCAGAGAATCCGCGTGTTTGTGCACGCACGGCCATTTGGCGCTCGCGCATTAATTACTCCGAGTCAACATTCACTCGAGAGGACGGCGGGAGAAACACGCGCGCGCGCGCGCGCGCGCGCGGGCGACGTCGTCCCCGGGAGAGGTCAGAGGTAAAATAAAGGTGTCGCGCGTACGTGGACGTTCGACTTTTCGTACTTGTCGCGAACGGCGTGGGAGGTCCGGCCTAATGGTTGATCGCGCGTGACGCAAAAGCGCGCCGATCAATGGAGACGCCCTACGCAAACGCTCACGCTCTTCGCGTGCACGAGCGCCTCGGCGCTTTACGTGCAGAGGCGCCTCCGAGGGGAATCAATCGAAGCGGAGAACACCGAGCGAAAGAGGCTCGTCTCCATACGATGTAACCTATTCCGCAGCCGTTTGCACAACGGTTTTCGCACATCCCGCTCGAATCGCACGAAACGCTCGCGATTGCGACTGCCGGCTGCTCACGTACTCGCGTGCTGATCGACCATGACGGGGGTCGGGACGTATGCGGTGTAAATATTGACCCTTCGTTATATACTCTTATCCGAGAGGATGGATGAGAGCATAATAAAGATACTTGTGCGATTTCCCGATTCCAGCGCGCATAATCGCGACGTGGCTCCTGAGGGCGGGATTACGATGGACTTGACGCAACGGGACGCGACGGGATGTGAAGTGACACAAAACCTAAAACACATTATTTTATATGCGGCTAGTTACGATCGACTTTGCGTAACGTGACGTGAAGTATCGGAAGTTAACGCGACGTAAAGCTTGCCAATGTCAAGTTTAGATGTCGCGTTCCGTCAAGTCAAAAACGGAGTTCTTCCACCACAGGTTACGCCCGTCGCCAAACTGAATTCTTCTTCGAAAAATATCTCTCACACTGATATAACCTCAAGCGTCAAATTCACGTAACGTCACTTCACGTCCCGTCGCGTCCCGTTACGTAAAGTTCATCGTAATCCCGGCCTAACTCGGTCGGAGAAACGTTGCGCGAACGAGCGTACACGTTGACGCAAATCAGTCCCATCGCCGGCATATGACAAATAAATATTCGTACACAGCACGCAACATGAGCAATAAATAATAAATGTCGCGAGACGTAAGCCGTAAGAGTCGGTCGATTATAGTTTATTCTTGTAATAACCAACTGCGATTGGCTATTTCTCACGGGATTTGCGGCTTACGACATTGATCGTAAAACCGGCGTAATCAGCAGTTATTATGAATATCCAGGGATTTCCAATGTCGCGGCGCCGAAGGAACGGTGTGTTGTGAGCACACGTGAGCCAGCTCGTGTTTGACTTTTATTCAGCGCAAACGGCGACGCGTATCGCCGACAACGAAGAGCATGAACGCGAGGATCACTCGACGAGCGACGTGTGGAGCTCTCTCTCTCTCTCTCTCTCTCTCTCTCTCTCTCTCTCTCTCTCTCTCGCAGAGCTGCTGCGAAGGGGAACACTCGACGCGTCGTGACGCCCTTCTCTGCCTTCTGTGCTCGGGCTAACAAAGACCCCGAATTAACGGTCGGTTGTTCGCGCTCGCCGGCGCGCCGACGCCTCGCCGTGGGCGAGGAGGATGCCGAGGGAAGGATCGCATTAAGGTCACGTCGCACCACCGAACAACGGGGCTTGATAACGCCCGCGCGCGCGAGATACAGCCGCCGCATCCGACTGCAGCTCGCTTAGCTCTTAGCAGCGAGCGCAATCCGGTTGATCATCAGATTGCAGATCGCGGGAGCGCGATCGTTATTGAGGAGAATTATTGCCGCGTGCTTATCGTTCCGATGACGCGCGGAAAAATATGTCGAGGCTCTCTCGTATCGGCTATCGGTGACGGTCTGGCGGGGTAGTTTGGGGGTGGCAAAAGCGTCACATTATGTTTATGTGTATTTCCGAAAAACGCCGGGAGCGAGAGTCGCTCGATGTCCCTGAGGGGATTATCGCGCTAGTCTCCGCTGCTCGCTCACGAGGCGACACGCGACAGAAACACGCAAATCTTCGCGACTGGTCGTCGTTCGATTTCGCCCCGCGACGAGAATACCTCGCGCGTATTTTCGACGACACCTCGTTTCAGTTGGCGGAATCAGCCGCCGTCGCGGCCGTGTCCGCCGCGTCTCCGAGCGCGATTGGCTCCCGCCTGAAATGCACCTCGACGTGCGGCCGCGCGGAGTCCGCGACAGTCGGATACGCGCGCGCGCGCGTCGCCGATGACGCGCGTCGCGCCGGCGATACTCCGCGAGCGCTCGGCCGCGCCGCGGGAATCGCGGGCTCCCGGCCGGCGAAATCGCGCACGAAGCTCGCGAAGGAGGCGCACGTTCGCGATCTCTCACGCCGATAGCCGCGATAAACGAGTCAGCCTGCGAGCGATCCGGCGCGATCGGCAGGGCGCCGCCCGACTCGCGGCTGCTTCGTGCCAACGTGCCCTCCCCTCCCAGCCGCCCTCCCCGACCGTCCGAGGATCGTCAACGAGCGTCGGGCACTTTCTCACCACCAGGCACACACCCACAACACCACTGACACGCGACGCGATGGAAACGGAGGATTCATCCGCGAGACAAACTCGCGCGCCATCACCGCGCGCGGCCGCCTTTCCCTCCACTTGCCGTTTCGTTTTGCTCGATCAACGCGCGAGATACCGCGGGGTAATCGCGGGAATTGCCACCCCGGGTTCGCTGTCGTGGCTCGCATGTCGAGCCCTCCAGCGTCGCTCCCTCCGTGTTGATGCACGCGATTCTGTCTTCCTGAGTCGCGCGTGTGCGTGCATGCGTGTGCGTGCGTGCGTGCGTGCGTGCGTGTGTGTGTGTGTATGTGTGTGTGTGTGCGTGCGCGCGCGCGTGTGCGGATAACAGTGCATGTCCGCGTACCTACGCGAGCTTCAACCGCATCCGCTGCTCCGTGGCATTCCAATTCCGCGTGCCATTATCATCCCGTCGTCGTCGTCGAGAACGTCGTCGCGGCGGCGGTACGCGCAGTGGCGTCGTGCACGACGTGCGACCTTCTCCGTCGACACCGCGCCCGGTCTCCTCATCCGCGAACGCACTCGTGAGCGAGCTCGCCGATCTCTCGATTGTCCGGCGGACCTCTCATCGTTTTAGTCACCGTCAACAAACACAGTCGCGAGCACGCCCCTCCCCCCCTCCTCTTGCTCCTCCTCTCTCGGGGGAAAAACTGTGCGCGACGTCGCGCGGCTCGATGCACTCTCTGCTACGTCGATTTCCGCACTCTCGTCGGATGCGCGCACCTATTCCTCCGCAGCGTGGGCGACGATGACGTAACACCGCTGCGGTTCCGCTGCGGGAGCGAAGGGTCTCGACGTCGGAGAGCAGTCGTGTCGGCCTCTCGTCTCGCTGCTCGCGGTCGCTCGCGATCGCGGGATCGATCGATCGATCGATCGGTCGGTCGGTCGGTCAAAGGGTGGAGAACGAGCGAGGGAGGAGAATGAGAATAGGACAGAGAGAACGAGAGAGAGAGAGAGAGAGAGAGAGGCAGAGTGGGAGAATGAAGA